GGGGTCTCGGCTGCTGACAATCGCCCGGGGCTAGGCACGTGCCGAGAAACGGGAACCCTAACCCTTAAACATTCTGTCTATCAGGGGGTCAAGGGCACGGTTGCCCCGAGAGACGGCGACAACAACTGGGGTCTGGGTGGGGCACTGCCCAGCAAACCGCTTGAATCGTTCAAGTCTCCCAGAACGCCGCCCTGCGTCCCGCCGTTTCGATCACCACTCACCACAACGTCCTGTTCTCTTCTTGTTCCTAACATTCTACGATTTCGAGCTCAGACATAGTATTCCGCTTACTAGAACACAATGGTATGTGACCTCGCTAAGAATCCTTCAGTTTCCCCAAGTTTTCAAATCTTTCTCCTGGCTCAGGAGAGCCGATTCTCTTGCTTGCACAAAGGCGTCTTGCAGCTTTGTGAGTCAAACAAGGCTATGGGTAGCAAGGGAATTGCCGCGCCCGAGTTCTCATCGATATTGCCTCGCTTCAAAGGTCGCCTTGGTTTTCGCAGCAACACGCGCTCTCCTGCAGACAGAACCCCGCTTTCGAACACAACACCCGACCTGTCAACTCATCTAACCAGTGACGCATAGGCTTCGACCAACTACAAGGAGGCATTCTCGCTGTTCGACACCCGTGGCGTAGGCCGCGTTTCTCTCGAGAAGCTGGGTGATCTCCTTCGCGCCTGCGGACAGAACCCGACTCTCTCCGAAATTCACGAGCTGGAGAAGAGCGTTGGAGGTGAATGTGAGTTGTTTGCAAGCTAGCTGCCTTCATGTTGAGGGCGATCGCTGACTTGGGACAAACAGTCGATTTCGAGACCTTCCAGCGCATCCTCAATCGGCCGGGCGGCTTCCGCGACCCTGGCGAGCCTGAGGAATATTGCCGTGGTTTCCAAGTGTTCGACAAAGACATGACGGGTTTTATTGGCGTCGGCCAACTGAAATATATCCTTACGAATCTTGGCGAGAAGATGACAGAAGAGGAGGTGGACGAGCTGCTCAAAGCTGTCGACACCAGCTCCGGGCAGGTCAACTACACAGGTAACAGGCATCTGCATGCTGGAAAAAAGGGACTGTGCTGACATCTCATCTAAAACAGAGCTCGTCCGTACCATTCTTTCCAACTAGAAATAGCGGGGGCTTCGAGGAGTGTGCAGCAATCAACGCACTTCGCTGATGATAGGAACGTGTCTACGAGGCGAGAGGGCATTGCATGGGTTGTGTGACGGGCGGCTGGCGTTGGAGTTTGCAATCTGGATTGTATTACATTTGGGCGCCTGGGTTGGTATTCGATGATAACAATTCAGGACTTGGGAATAGGATACAGGTTGAAACCTAGATAGCAACAGGAAGTCATTCCCCAAAATACTGGTTGGCGGTGGGCGAGGGGGGTCCGAATCAGACCAGGGCCACAGCGAACAAGGGCAAAAGGCCTAGGCCACTAAGAACGACGCTTGGCATTAATTGTGGGGGCTTGATAACCTCCCAAATCCGGCAATGTGTCGACGTGACCGTTTCAAAAGACCGCTACAACTTTCGACGCTTCAAACCAGTTTATTGACTGCTGATGATTTAACGAATGGTCCAGGGCATTCCGACAAGGCTGCTAGGATTATAGTACCTAACTTGAGCTTGACTGCATCTGACCTTCACTCTCGGTTTCTTTTATTTAGTACGCTTAGCTCCCCTACTAGGCATCCTTCCGATTGACAAACCGTTGCCCTGGCACGCCTCCCTCCAACTGTCTGACCACCTCACTCCTGTCAGACCCGCCCCAGCTTCCCCGCAATTGGGCTCCTCCTCCACTGTCTTGCACTTTGAACCCCGCGGTTCTCGAGGTTGACTTCGGCCCAACGCACCGCTTCCACCTTTCACCCTGGCGCCTCCTGCATCCCCAATTCGGCAGGTTGTGTTCCTGCTGCTGCTCTCCGTCGTTCTCTTCTCCACCACAACCGTCATCCTGGCTGCCCCACGCATCGTCCCCCGCCTCTCTGCCCTCTTCACCCAGCTCCGATACAGCAAAGCACACCAAGCACCACTCGGAGGCTTCACTGCTGTTTCGACTGGTCGTCCAGCTCTGGGCACTCTGACGTATTCGTCTCAGCCTTCCTTCCTGACCCACGCGCCGACCGCCGACATGGCCAAGTACGCAAACCCCCCGCAGCCGCCGCCGCTGTTCACAGGCACCAAGGATAGCATCGTGGCCGACTCCAAGAGCTTGTGCGACCGGACTCGCTCGTTGTTAGACTCCCTTGTGGCCAATATCAAGCCTACCGAGAACCCCGCGTCGGCCACCTTCGACGCTGTCATACGTCCCCAGATCGAAGATGAGAACGAGAGCTCCCTCAGCGCCCGCATCCTCGGCTTCTACCAATATGTGTCAGCAGACAGTGCGCTTCGCGACGCCAGCACCGAGGCCGATAAGATCATGGACGAGTTCGGCATTGAGTGCAGCATGCGTGAAGATGTCTTCCGCCTCGTTGATGCCGTTTACAGCAACTCGGGCCTCGCGGCGAGCCTCGAGAAGGACAAGAACCGCCTGATTGACGATGCCCTGGCTAAGTCTGCTGGTCTGGAAGATGTCGAGAGTGCGCGGCTGCTGGAGAGGGAGAGGAAGAGCTACATCAGGAACGGCCTGGGTTTGCCGGAGGGCCCAAAGAGGGACCGCTTCAAGGAGATCAAGAAGAGGCTTAGCCAGATTCAGATCGCTTTCCAGAAGAACCTGAACGAGGAAAATGGTGGCCTTTGGTTCACCAAGGAAGAGCTGGACGGTGTCCCGCAGGATGTCCTGGACACATTGGAAAAGGGCACTGGTGATAACGAGGGCAAGCTCCGGCTCTCCTTCAAGTACCCCGATTTGTTCCCCACCCTCAAATTTGCGAAGAACCCTGAGACACGCCGCAAAGTGTTTATTGAGAATGAGAACAAGGTATGCGCGCAGCTTACTCTGAAATCGCCGGCGGTTGTGCCGAACTAACACCGCATGTAGTGCAATCAAAATGTCCCGCTGTTCAAAGAAGCCATTCTCCTCCGCGATGAGGCTGCCCGTCTTCTCGGTTACCCCGACCACGCCTCGTTTCGAATCGAGGACAAGATGGCCAAGACACCAAAGACAGTCCTCGATTTTCTTGGAGATCTCAAGACCCGCCTGGCCGCTGGGGGCGTCAAGGAGATTGAGCATCTTCTGGCACTAAAGAAGAAAGATCATGAAGCTCGCAGCCTACCCTTTGATGGCAACTATTATCTCTGGGACCACCGGTACTATGACCGTATGATGGTGGAGCAAGAATATAGCATCGACGAGAACGCGATTGCCGAGTACTTCCCGCTGAAGTCAACGGTCGCAGGCATGCTCCGCATCTTCGAGGAGCTTTTTGGCCTGGTGTTCGTTGAATTAACACCCGAAGACCGCAAGCGCATCTCCCCAACTGGCAAGGGCGAGGATATTTCATGGCATGAGGATGTGATCATTTTCAGTGTTTGGAACGACGAGGGCGAAGGCAATGGCTTCGTGGGTTACCTGTACCTTGACCTGCATCCCCGCCCTGGCAAGTACGGTCACGCGGCCAACTTTAGCCTTCAGCCTGGTTTCCTCAAGCCAGATGGCACTAGGCGGTACCCCGCCACTGCACTTGTCTGTAACTTCAGCAAGCCTACCGAGAAGAAGCCCTCGCTTTTGAAGCACGACGAGGTCGTCACGCTCTTCCACGAGCTTGGGCACGGCATCCACGACTTGGCGGGCCGGACCCAGTATGCTCGATATCACGGTACCTCTACCGTCCGTGATTTTGTCGAGGCGCCCAGCCAAATGCTCGAGAACTGGTGCTGGACTCCGAGCCAGCTCAGGAGTCTGAGCAGCCACTACGAGACAGGACAGCCAATCCCTGATGACCTCATCGAGAAATTGATTGCTACCAAGCACGTCAATGACGCGCTGTTCAATCTGAGACAGCTGCACTTTGGCCTCTTCGACATGACGGTTCACACCCCCAAAACGCATGAGGAGTTGGAGAACTTGGATGTCAGCAAGTTATACAACGACCTGCGTGTGCAGATTTCCCAGATCAAGGGGCCCGAAGCGCAGGGCGAACCGAGGTCAGTTTGCCCCTGGAATAATTTCTTCCCCTTGCCACGGTTTTCACTGTTTACCCTTCATGCCCCTCCCTTGTCCCCTTCCCTTTGTTCTCTTTTCAGGCTTTCTCTAGACTACCTCTACTGCAACCGACTGAAATCACACTGACTCATAATCCACACACAGCACATGGGGCAACGGCCAGGCAACTTTTGGGCACCTGATTGGGGGTTACGATGCCGGCTACTACGGTTACCTCTCCTCTCAGGTTTATTCGACCGACATGTTCTACTCTGTCTTCAAGAGCAACCCTATGGACCCCGTGGAGGGCCGGCGCTATAGGCACACAGTGCTTGAAAAAGGCGGGTCGCAGGACGAGATGCTCACTCTGGAGCAGTTCCTAGGGAGGAAGCCAAGCACCGAGGCATTCTACAAGGAACTCGGGCTGGACAACTGAAGATGCCCTAAAGTTCTTGGCCGAGCTTGGTTTGCTAGGAAGTGAGAGTGTACATGTATGCTCAGCTGGCCTCGACACAGCAACACAGGCATGTAGTAATATGAAGCAAAGAACTCAAACCTATATATAAGGCAGGACGCAGTGACAAGCAATTTTGTGGTTCGTCCAATCACGAAAATGATCGTAGTCTGGGAAGTTACGGGACAGACTCAGCCAATACATGTACGTCGGTGTCTTTCAAGTCAAGAGTACCTGAAAGCCTCCCTCTGGAGGTATTTCGTCACCCGGTCAGCACGTGATTACCTTTTTCTGAGGCGATTCCAAGTTGATTGCCAGATCATGGATGGGCATTGCGCATACTTATCCATGCGTAACGGCATCACACCTTCCCCCTCTTGTCCATAACGGTGGCATGATGAAACCGCAGTTTACTCTTTTCATATGGGCTATTATGGATCAGAAAAGATAACAAGTTAAGCCCGGTTAGCTCAGCTGGTTAGAGCGTCGTACTAATATTGTGGACTTTCACAGTCTGCTATATCATGTCATGCGAAGGTCAACAGTTCAATCCTGTTACTGGGCATCATAAAGCAAGCGATCAATTCTTGCGCGGTTTTCTTTTGCTCTCTGGTGGAGGACAAGGTGGAGGACACAGGACGGCAAGTTGGGTGAGTGGAGGTGACGGTGGGGGTCGTTGTTTTGCTCCGTGGGTAAACAGGGGAGGGGAACGAGAAGGAAAGTAGGGCTGGGCCCTGATTCTCTCGTATAGGTTTGTGTTGCCCTGAACTTGCGCTTCAGAAGGGATTCAGCTGTCCACAAGTACAACAGGGAGTCAGACGTTGCGTGATTCAAGTTTATTGTTGTCCAGCTACAAATAACTCCCAGACGCGAGCTCGCTATGACGCTGAGAATCCAAAACCCCAAACACCGTAAACCATCTACTCCTGGTAATGCTCCGAACACATGCGTAACCAAAGATCCTCGATCATAAGACCATGCAGTGGCCGAGCTGCCATTACCTGAATGGAACTCTGGCATAATGCGGATGATAGTGCCTCCCTAACTCCCCAAACCCTGACCAACCAAAGGTAGAGAAACGAGTCGAATCCATATCAACCAATGGGAGCACAACTGAACGGGTCCGAAACAGACCCGACCTCGTACCGGTGGTTCTATATTCAAGTCAGCTCGGTGAAATTAAAGGCGAATAGGAGCTGAAACAACTTACAATATCCCAGACGGCAGAATAAGTTCCAACGCCTAGCACAGTAATACCGACGATGAAAGTGATAGCATTGGCAGCCGTCAGGGCCCAGTTCTTGCGCTCGTACCACTTGCCCTCCCTGATGAACATGAACCACATGATGGCGGGGAAGTAGAAGCTGAAGCCGGAGACAAACAGCGACGAGCAAATAGCCAGCAGGTCCGAGAAGAAAGGGACAGCGCCGGCAATGACCCACGCAAGCACGGTAAGAGCGGCAACGAGGCCGATCCACGTGGCCCAGCCCATGGGTGTGTTGACGTAGCGGATGATGGAGTTCTTGAACATACGCCCGTGGATGTAGCGCGCCACGACCGTCGTGTTGATGCTGCCCGAAATAAAGATGACTGGGATCGCGATGCCGAACGCCACCTTGGACACGAGGGGCCCGGCCGAGAGCAGGGCGGGCGACTGGACGTCGGGGCCGACGAAGGCGTACACGAGCGCGCCCGTGATGGTGTACAGGACGATCTCGAAGATACCGAGCGTCACGACCGACTTGGCGTAATCCTTGGGAGTATGCATCTCGTCCATGAAGCTAAACTGGCACAGAGCGAAGCTGTAGGCAAAAACAATGTTGCCGATAGCGATGAAGGCTTCCGCCAGCGACAGGTCCTCCTTGGGCCACGCAGACCACGCAACCGACGAGACGCCGCCAGGGAGCTCGCCGGCCCGAACTCCAGTGGCGATGATGGTGATGAAAATGGCGGCAATGATGGACGCGAAATCGATGTACCCGAGGATCGCCATCTCGGAGAAGCTGGGTGGGATGGCAACGAGGAATAGTATGATGGCTGAGACGACGGTGAAGACGATGGTGCAGGCACCGTTCTCCGAGAGGTTGTTGAACATGATGGCGCCGGTTAGGACGTGGGAGCCCGTGGTGAAGACGAGCTGGAGAATGAACATGACACTGATGAACTCGTAGCCGAACTTGCCAAACATCATGCGGCCCACGTCGGTATAGTGCGAGATGTGTGGGTATTTGAGCTTCATCTGACCGACCACGTAGCTGGCGTACAGGGCAACGAGGCCGATCCCGACCGTGAGGATGACGCCCGCCACCATCCCCAGCGTCGCGAAAGCACCGGGCAGACTGAGACTGCCCAGGGCGACCGCCGTCACAATCAAAACGATGGTGAGGCGCTTCCAGCCGAGCCGGTGGAAATGCGCCTCACCCTGGGCCGCCTTTTGCTTCTCGTAATCGTCCATGCCTGTGGGCCGCACTTCGCCCACTTCGTCTTCAGACTGCGACTGCAAAACGGCTGAATCCGAGGGGTCGAATGGGTCCGCCTTCTTCTCGGAGGACTTTGTGTCCCGGATGACAGTGTTGGCCGCCATGGTTAACGAGTCGGGCAGCGTGTGAAACGGTCTCTATTCGTCACCTCCCTGTTTATGCTGGCGTGTTGAAGCCAGGTGAAGCAAGGCACGGCAGATGTCCGAAAGGAGGCAGTGCTGAACCTAGACCAGAGGTCTTTCCGGGTCTGACCTTAGGAAGGGGGCGAATGAAGGGGCGTTCCCACGTCCTCAGAAGGTCAGCTACCCGAACCCTGGAACAAGAAGGAGCAGGAGAGGTCGGAAATCGAGAAAGAGAGAGGGGTACGAGGGCAGAGCGACCTACTTCAAGTACCTTACGCCTTTTTAAAAAAACAGATCGGCAAACCACACATCGACCAAGAATCCGAGTTTACACTTGCCCACCCACCCCTGCCTCGACCGCCGCCTCCAGTCGATATCCATATCCGGAACTTTCGGCACGCCGCATCTGCCGTTGCCCCTTCTCGCCGCTGGACCGCCCTGGCGTGGCCATCATGACCGAAGGGTCGGCCTCGACCGATATTCCACTATTCATCCCCATTCTAGGCCACGCGGTTGCACTGCTCCCCAGACCCCAGACTCTTAGTCCTCAAGTTGTTCGCAGGGGAGGCTCAACTTCGTCGCAGTTCCCTGTATGGGCCAGCAATTCGAGC